GCGAACGAATAGACATATCTTTCTTCTTAATACCTTCATTAACAAAGGAAAAAAAAAATGATGACAATATTATAGTTGTTTTTTTTTGTTTATAGCCATTATTTTTAATTGTGGTACATTATTGTTAAGCATAAAGAACAAGAAATGAATATATAAGAAAAATTAATTTTGTTTGCCTTTTGTCTTGTCTTTATTATCACCGCTTTGTCTAATTGCTTGTCAGAACCTTGGCTGTCCTGTTACTCTCTAGCGTTAAACCCGGCCATTGCATGATGGTCTTTTCTTCTCTCTCTCTCTCACATCATTGCATCACGCAATGAGAAGCTTTGTTCTAATGATTACTCCCTCATTTATTTGGCTTCTTCTTCTATGTTTTGGTAGTTTCAGCATCACTACTATTGCTCCCTTTTTCTCACTCTTGTTCTCCTGTCATCACTATCGTCGAAATAGTATGGACGACAACGGAAAACAACAGTCATCCATCCAACACGATCATCCGAACACGATTCATGCGTATATATCCTCGTTTGTTCTTGTTAAGTGGATACTCACAATGACGAATGCAACAAACGACAAAAAAAAAGAAAAAAGAAAAAAAATAAGGGACAAAGAAAGCGATGGATAAGGATAGATCAATGTCGTTTATATTGAAGAACTGATTTACAATGTGCACATTCGCACTCAGCTTAATAACACAGTTTTTCTTCATTCGTTCGGAAAAAAAAGGATTATTATCATATTCTTCTATTTTTTTTTAATGACTAATCAAGCATCATATGTATGGTTAAAATTACTAGTGAAACTAATACAAAATGGCGATGAATTATTCAATTTGTAAATAGAGTATTTAGATTATATGAATATTTGTTCGAAATTATTTTTGATTTTTGAAGCACATTCAATGAGAAATTTTTATACTGATAATATAAATATATATTCAATGCTCTATAATTTAAACTCATTAGTTATTAGAAATCATCATAATAATCATCTTTTTTCTTTTCCTAAATTATATATCTTATTAAAAAAAAATTGATATTAATCAATTTTCTCTTGTTGATATTTATAGTTATATTCTAGACTATACTTAAAGGTTTCTTTGATTTCATCAATCTATATTATATATTTATAATAATTTGTATCTATATTCTAGTTAAAAATGTAACAGATTAACATACCTTCTTCCCCATTATGTTGCTCCGAACGGTGGCAACAAGAAATGGTATTGACTTTACCAGTCATCGAATATATATATATATATATATAAATGTCTGTTCAGCAGTGTACAATCCACTGAAAATGTCAATGGCAAAATGGTTTCTATTATCACTAGATATACATATACTCTTATTCTCTATATCTATCCAAACATAAGTTATCAGCACAAGCATGATAGCACAACAGGGTGCTAACTACTAAAGGATAAAATATGCAATGATCAGATGGAGTGCTACAGGCAACACTTTCTATTCATTAAAGAAAATGAAACAAGCACCGATATTCAATAAACAAAAAAGAAGAACTCAAATCATTGCTTGAATATATTTAATTATTTTTGTCTTTTTTTAAATCATCATATTTATTGTTCATATTGAATTTCATTATTATACATAATGATATAAACTGTTTTATATGTTGAACGAAAAAAAAAATTCTTTTTATATACTTGACAAGAACATATATTTTAAAATGAAACTCGTTATTGTTTTTTTTTCCTTCTTTTACATATGTTCAACTTGACTTTTCTTGTATTTCATAAACTATTAAATGTCATATATCAACAAAATGTTTTCTTTTTCCTGTGGAATAACTAACAACAGTTGGTTATCTTCAAGTATAAAACCAACGAAAGAAGAATATTAAGGGCATGCACTTAGCAATTTCCAAAAAAAATAAGTGCATTACAATACATCAATATATATATATATATATGTGACATTTATTAACAAAAATAAGATTTATTCAACATACCAACTTTTGATTCTATGTATTAGTGTATATTTCAAAATGAAATATGTTGTCTTGTTAAATGAGCTCTTTTATTATTATTGAATCTGTTTATCTTTTGATGGAAAACAAGGATAAGCCAACAAGTAAAATCTATAAAAAAAAAAAAAATAATAAATTTATTTGTTGTTGATTATAATTAATAAAGTATGAGTATAAAATTTAGATGTTGAAGAATATGATAATTAGTAATAAAATACATAAATTTATTGAAATTCATCCTATTCAAACAGACTAATTGAGAGAATATATGATCGAAAATAGTTATCATTTAGTCTGTGAATATGCAAAGAAATAATACGAAACAAGCATTAGGAATTTAATAATAGAAAGTTATTGTTACTGAAGAAAGATGTATGAGTATTATTGACAGTATTAGGTTTATTAATATGTTCATCGTTTTGATTACTATTGTCAAAATTTAAAGTCAACTATTGAAACTGAACTTCTGAAACAATTTACTGAATTTGGGCTAAAGTATCCAATCAAATAATTCAAATTCTTTTTTTTTTATCTTGCTCAAAAAGCATGATAATTGATTACACTCTTAATTATACCTTTAGGATGTCAAATATGATATTAACTATGTTCGCCATTTTTAGCATATGACCTTGAGTGTAAACTAGAAAACACTATTTTTCATTGTGAATATAATAAACAAATTGATCTTTTTTTTTATTAGAAAGAGCAAAGCATACCATGTGAAAACGTTCTTATTACGACAACTTTCGTGTGAAATTAACATAGTTCATCTAGTATACAAGAGAATGAACAATAGATAGTTTAATTAAAAATCTAATTTTAGGACTTCTAGTGCAAGAAAAAAAAGGTTTTGTTGGAAGGGTGTGAGTATGTGGCTTTAGATAATTTTATGAATGTCAATGCTGGTAGATGTGAGCATTTGTATGCAGTTGGCTGATGGTTTAGGTATTTTTCTATGTAAGTTTCTGCAATGAAAGATGTATTGACGTGAAACGGAGAGCGTAAAGTGCGAAAGTTGGATTGGTATTTGGATCACTGCGTGTATACACTGGTGGATTGTGTACATAGGTGTCTTTTATTCATGTTTCATCTTCGCATCTATGCACAAATTCTCACACATCCACACTACTCGCATAGGTTTCTAATGAGGTGATGCTAAAAATAAAATGGTGAGACAAAAGTCTTGAGACGAAAGTCTATGTATTGAGTATCAGCACTATCGACTAGTTCACTAAGATAAGAGTCTGACGTAGAAAAAGTATTTTATCATATCAAGGCTTTTTTTTTTCTAGTGTTGAAAATCATAGTTATTCGTTTACTTTCAATGATTAATTTTCAAATATACGATGCATAGTCAAAGCATTAATAGTTCATTGTCTATTAGGATGCTACTTGATATCAATGCTCATATGTAGGACTTTTTGTAAAACGTTCATCGAAAAAGAAAAACGATGATTTGCGATAAAATTCATAAAAACTCGTCTCTCTACAACATATATTAAATGAAACAAAATTAGACGACCTCAATAGACACGTTTCTTTTTTATTGGTTGACTTCATATGTGTAAAAGAAAAGAAATTGTTTTATTTCCATTATGAATCTTCGTCATAATTAAATTTTAGCGATGACAAATAATAAATACATATTTCAAGAAAATATCATGCTCACTGTTATTAGTAATCATCTATCAATCATATAAAAATAGAGAGAAGAATAAGTAATTCTTCATTTATTTGTATAGTCATCAACGGTAACATATTTTGCATACTATTAACATAAGAGAGAGCAACGAGCAATACTTTCTGAATCATATGCATACAGGTTTGAAATAATATTTGATAATAGATGTCTGAATAACAGTATGATATATTAATTTTTGAATCAGTTAAAAATATTTCACTATTATCCACAACTATCTTTAGTCAAATTATATGATTTGCAAAGTTATTAAAAAATAATTATAAAAGTTGAGTTTATTGGTTGTGTACTTGTATGTAAACTGTTATTCTTGTTCTTTTCTCTTATTAATTTTTTTATGCTGATTATAGTCATACTTCATTTATTGCTGTCTATTTCTCTTAGTCATCATCTGTAAGACTTTTTTTTGCACATAGAATAATTAATTTGATGTACATAAGGCATATATTAATATAAAATGTATTTTATGCATCGTACTTTGCTATAAATAGTGAATGTATAGACCAAATTTAGCTCCCATATTAGTACTTTAGTTCTGCTCTCTTATCTTTACTTAGTTTTCTCTTTGATCTTAAAATTTCAATCGATGTTGCTCGCTATGCAAATTTCCTATTCTTGTCTGCGTAACTTCGAGAGACAGCAGTATCCAAATAATGATTGATTTATTCTTACAATTGATAAGATCTGAAATGAGCAGTAGACGCCACGAAACTGCGTCTTAAAATTTGTATTCACTACTTTCTTTGAAACTATGTGTATGTGTATCACAAAATGAACACTTCTTTTATAAAATAGTAATACTTGCTTTCAAAGACAAAGTTTTCATTAGAACTATTTTATATATATGTCAAAATAAAACTGAATCGACTTGTTAATAGAAATGAGAAGATAAAAATTCTATCATATATCTCTATTCAAACAAACTTATTCTCTTAATTTAATATGTATAATAAACTTCTCTAGCTCAACCACTGTCTATAGCTATATTAGTAACATTAAATATTATAGAATAAGTATATTCATTGAAGTATCTTTTCTAAGAAATAGTATATTTCCTTGTGATGACATCATTTCTTTGCTTCTCTTTAATAATTTTGCTGACTATTTCTTAAAAATAATTTCCAATGTCATAGTCAGTAAATTTGTAACCAATGAATGACACTGTTCGATAGAAATCTCAATGTTTCTGTAATTATTAACAAAAAAAAAAGAGTCATCTCTTACAAGGATTTTCCCAAATGTATTCAATATGAATGTATCATTTGCATTGTGATAAAATATTTTAGGTAAATTTTTGTTATATATATATATAATGCATCTTGGCTGGACTGATTATGGAGTATTAATTATTTTATTGGGTAAATTCAAAAATAAAACTTTCATTTAATTATTGTTGATTTTTCTTTGTATTGACTAAGGTTTATCAGGATTTATTGGCCTTTATCATGGTTGTATTCGATCAAAACAATTATCTACTAATGAATTTCTTATTGCTGATGGACGAATGAAAGTAATTAATATAATATAATTGAATAAGAATATAAATATTTTTCTTATAGACTTTACCAACGGCGATGAGTTTATTAGCAAGTATTATGTCGGCAGCAACATTACTTGGTGGTCCGGTTGAAATTTATGCATATGGAACTATGTATCTTTATTGGAGTGAGTGCTATGTTTTTGTTTAAAACATATAATTTAATAATAGATTTTTCTATTCTACAGTTGTCGCTTGGCTTACTGGTGCTTATTTTACAGCAAATTTATTTATTCCAATATTTCGTCGAATAGGAAATATTAGTATATATGCTGTATGTATATAAAATTTCTTTAGATTTATTTTCATATATGAAATATTTATATTTTAGTATTTTGAACAACGTTTTTCATTATCAGTTCGAATTATTATAACAAGTATGTTTGTTATAGTCAATGTAAATTCAAGATAAAGAAAAAAAAGACAACAGGAATTTTTACATGGTTAATGCTTTTCTATTTAGATGATTTTTCTAGCTATTATTCTATATGGACCAAGTTTAGCATTAAGTCAAGTAACTGGATTACATATATGGTTTGCAATTGGTTCATGTGGAATTATTTGTACACTTTATACAAGTATTGTAAATATTTGTTTATTATAAATGATTATATGAAGTTGAAAAATGATTTTTATTTTTCTAGGGTGGAATAAAAGCAGTTATATGGACTGATGTTGCACAGACAATAACGATATTTTTTGGCATAGTTTTATCGATTATTTTCGGTATATTATATTCATAATTTTTGTTTTTATTCTATATGATATAATTAGGATTTATTAATACTGGTGGAATTCGAAAAGTATTTGAAATTGCAATCAATGGTAATCGAATTCAATTTGCTAAGTATGTATTGCAAAAAATTAATGAAAGTGATAAATTTTTTTTTTTTTGTTGATTTTATAGTATAACATTTGACTTATCAACTCGATATACTATTTGGAGTATTATTATTGGAGGTAGTTTTTATACTACAGCTGTATATTCATGTCTTCAAACTCAAGCACAACGATTTATGTGTGTAAAAAGTACACGAGCAGCACAAAAGTATGTTTATAAAAATCAAAAAAATTTATTGTAGAATCTTAGACAAAAGTCTTCAATCTATAGCATCTCACATAAAAACTATCCAAGAGTTTGTGCATATACTTCGTCAAGAGTGTAGGTTAGAAACATCTACTTTAATTGCTTAAGTATACTATTTTTTACCACACATATAATTAATTCTTGGTATTTTGTGAAACACGTCGTGAAAAGAATGTTGAAGTGTTTAGGGGTAGAAATTTGGACCCCACACAGACCGTGACAGACACTCACGTGACCCATCACAAACAGGCTCCAGAAGTCATCATAGACTTTGATAGAAGACTTCAAGGAAATATTAGAGATAATGCATAACTAACATATAATTGAAGCATATATGGATTATTGTTCTGTTCAAGCTCTATAATGAAAAGTAAGTCATGATGAAGAAATCTCTCATCTACACTCTTGACGAAATACGTATAGACGACTTTTAAATCCTCCCTTATCGATAACTGTTGAGATTTTCTAGGAGCATAAACTACTGTAACTGTATTTGTATTATAGAGTTGCTTGGATGAATTTTATTATGTATTCCATGTTTATATTACTTTGTGCATGTGTTGGATGTATTTTATATGCTAAATATAATCGATGTGATCCTTTACGAGCTAAACTTATTTCTAAACCTGATCAAGTAAATAGAATTATTTTCTTTGATGAGCAAAAAAAAAATAAAACTTTGATTATAAATAATTCTTTATAGTTGTATCCTTTATTTGTAATTGAAACATTGGGACAATTTCCTGGTTTAACAGGTTTATTTATTGCTGGTATATTAAGTGCATCATTAAGTACAATATCAAGTGGAATAAATAGTATAGCAACTGTTATTCTTGAAGATATTTATAAACGAATAGTAATTGAAAATTCTATATCAGATAAAAAGCAAGCTATTATTTCAAAAATTTTATGTAAGTATAGTGTTTATTATGAAATGTAAATATACAAAATCAAAATTGTGTTTTTTCTCTTTTTTTCTATAGCTCTTATAATTGGTATTCTTGTCGTATTTTTGGCATTTATTGCATCTTATTTAGGTGATAATATTCTTGTAATAGTTCTTCAAATTGCTGGATCATTTGTTTCACCGATACTTGGAGTTTATTTACTTGGATTTTTTGCACCACGAGTTAATAGTCGAGTGGGTAAATTGAGTAAAAGTATTATATTTAATCGTTTTGCTTTTTTTTTGTCATAGAGTGTTCTGGTAGCATTTTTTTTGTGTATGATATTTCAAATATGGGTTCTTCTCGGAGCTAGTCTAACAATACAACAACATATACATAAAAGTGGACGATTACCAATATCTGTCAATGGATGTTTGCCAAGAATTAATATTACTCAATCTATTCCTATACATCAAAGGTATTTTTTCCTTTTTTTTTACAGGAATATAAATATAATTTTGTCTATATATTAGTTCAAATAATGTCCTATTGCCACTCTATTCGATATCTGTCATGTGGTATTCTTTTAATGGTGTTTTTTTGACTGTTATTTTCGGTTTACTTGGAATATTTATATTTGGTAAAATTATTTTTGTAAAAATGAAATGAATTTTAATCTCATTATTTAGGTTCGAATGATCCTACAACAGTAGATAAATCATTATTGGCATCATGGAAAGATATATTTAGTGGTTTTTTATCAAATAAAGTATATATAATTTAATATTCGATTGATAGACGCCATTCTACTTCACATTATGTCTATGAATAGTAGATCTCGCTGAAAGACTTAGAATGATTAGAGTTCATAACCTACTAAGGAAACGAAAATGAATATGTCTTTTTTCAAATTATTCAAACTTCAAAGAAACTAGATTATATTTTAGATATTTTCGGAAATGTTTTACTCTCAATAAATATTTTATTAAAGCATCTATAATGCTTATAAGTCTTTCTTTGTCTTACTAAAACATATTTATAGTCAAAATATGAAATCGAACAACGTCTATCAGTTGGATATGTTCTCTTGTTAGTATTTGAATTTTATAGAAATCGTCGATATTGGAAACAATTGATTTACATGAAATGGAAAAAACAATTATTGAACAAGAACAAATGCTTTAATTATATTTTCATTTAATCAAGAAATAAAAAGAAAGAAATAAACTTTTGTTCTTTTTTTTTTTGAAGATTTGCTTTGTTTATAGTTTAAAATTGAATATTATTCATTAGAATTAGTAAAAACATATAGGATGATAAATTTTGGTAGTTTGTAGCAATTTATTGCTTAATATTTATTAACGTATGTGAAAAAAGAGAAATTTGTCTAATTTCAGTTTCATCAAAATAAAAGAGAAACAAGTGCCAATAAAAAAAAATCAAAGATTATTCTTTTATAATCATTAGAAAATTCATGTATATATATATATAAATAAAATCACGAATCATTATGTAGTTCTTCATTATCAAAATATTCATCATTATTATTAGTTTTATTTTTTGTAAATGTACGACGAAATTTTTGTTGAAGACGATTACTTGTACTTTGTGTAGATGAAAATGGTTCTGGTCGATTATTGATTGTATCTATAGTATCATTTTCATCAATATTATCGAGATAAGGTCGTGAAATAAATATTTCAAAAATCAATTGTTTTAATGGATCACAAGTCGTTATACAAATAATAAATGGAAGAATAATACAACGTAAATTAAATACAAATAACATAAATTGTAGTGATGTTGCTTGTATATTTTTATTATTATATTTAATATTACCAACAATAAAATGCAATTTAAGTAAAATTAATTCTGATACAATAATACATGATGAAAGTGATAAATAAAGTTTTGTATTAACACTTAAACGAAGTGGTAAATTTCGTTGTTGAATACGTGGTAAACAACATTGATAAATAATAATAATTAATAAAATAATTATAATTATAATTAACATTAACTGTTCAAACCAATATTGTACTATATAAAATGAAAGAAATCTAGCATAATTATCTATATTCATTGATATAAAACAACATTTAAATGCAACAATACGATTTGTTGCATTAACATCTTGATCATCCATATCTTCATATGTATCACTATCATCATTTGATGTTTGATTTATTATAGATTGATTTCGTATAATAATGTTTAAAACTTGAAATAATCGAGTCGATAATATTATAATAATACCAAGAAAAATTAATAATCTATATAATTGTTGACATAATTGACGATAATAAATAAAACGTACAAGAAATTTTGATAAAATTTTTGTAAATAATCTTTCAATACTAAATAATAATGTTAAATAAAGTCCAATTGGTTTTGAAAATGTTGATATATAAACAATAAAACGACATGTATGATATGATAAATTTAATTCACCTTCATCATTTATCATATATGCATGAACATAAAGAGAACACATATTTGATAAACATACAATACATATAATAAGAAAATTTGATGTACGTGTTGTATGAAGTGATGTTGGTGCAAATATAAATAATATAGGAAGAATTAAAGAAGAAAATATAGCTATTGACCATGTCCATAAATAATTATGAATAAAAACTATAGAATTAAAACGATCAATTGAACTATAACCATCATAATATGATTTCTATATACATGAAAAATTTCAAAATAATATGTTGTAATTTATAATAAATGATTGTTGCTTTGTACATGTTCTTTAAATTACGTTTTATTAAAAATAAAAACAACAGAATATATCATAAGATATAATTAGAAAAGTTTTATAATTTACAAAGCAAAGTTAAATATTTAAAAAAAATTATAGTATAGTTCGATATATCTAAAACTGATCTTATATATTTGATTATATATTTAAATCTTATCATATGAAACTTATTTTATTGTTTCATTTACACATTAGAAATCATTTGCATAGTGTAAGAGAAAATTTCATGTATTTTATAGACAATCAGAAATGATTAATAATTAGTCTTAGTCTCACAATTCTAGATTATTTCCTATGAGATAAAATTAAAAAGATATAATTGATTAATTGTTTAAAAAAATAAAGGATTAGATCTATAAATAAAATAAATTATACTTTTTCACTGTTGCATTTTGTGATATATTCTGTTGTTTTTCTTTTTCTTTTTAAATGTCTTTAAAGATGAATATTTAAAAGATAAAGTGCAACAAATTTATTATGGATTATTTGTTATTATTGAGAAGTTTCTTTACTTACAGCTTGTGTCCATTCCATTGTTAATAGTTTTATTTGCTAATGTTTTTCTTTTGTTTCTTTTTGTGTATTAATAATAAAAAGAAATAGATAAGAACATCGATGATTATTTTAATTGAAATGAAATTTGATAGAAATCATTATGAAATATGAGAATATATGTTATTTTATCAATATTGAATGATTCAATAATATGAAATAATCGGATACTGTATATTGATTTTTTTTCTTTTTGTGCAATAAAAGTAAATGCTATGCACATCCTTCTCTGAGTTCATAATGAATTTGAATTTATGTTGTTTTTTTCTCTCCACTAGAATTAACTATTCTAAATAAGTTATCAAAAATGATTTTTTTGTAAGAAAAATTATTTTTGTTAAATATTTGATTTACAATATAATTTAAAAATAAATGCGAAAACCTCGGATTTAAATCCGAGTGTTATGTGTACTTCAAAAAGTGAAAAAGGTATATTCACTTTGTTTTTTATTACTAAATTGCAAGGAGAAAATACAGGCGTGCTAAGTTAGCATGGACCACACTGTATGCGACCTTATCCGGTGACCACTGACTCTACTCTCAGAGTGATATAATATCTTTAGAAATCACAGAAATTGAATTAAGATTCGTGTTTAACTTGGAAAACTGAGTAAGAAGAGTTGTTTTTGAATGGATTTGCGTTTGTATCTAGCGGGATTACGATCGTAAGCAACCTCATGAATCTATAAGAGATATATGATAGATACAGGCATCAGTATTTTCCTAATAAATCACCAATATTAATAGCTATCGAGGTCGGATTTTTACCTTTCGATAGTACTTTTGGCTAGCTACAAAACCAGGCATTTGGGAAACCCCAAAACTACTGGTCATCTGAGACATATCTAGGCAATTTGGTTTCTGGATGCAGTTTTTGTGCATTTTAAGATCTTTTTCAGGCGATGTTTTGTTAGAAAGCTACGATTTGGTTCAAAACTAATATCAGATTCGGAATCAGCGTTTAAAAACTGAGTCGATTTATATATGTTGTGAATAATTCTGAGAAAAATATTTTTTTTGAAAAAATCCCTGTATCCCCCCCCCCCTCAGGGATGGTCTGGTCAATAATGACAATTTTTTCAATAACTCAGCCATTTCTTGACGGATCCTTCTCATCTTCGAACTCGACCGAGATATTGATGGGACAATTCTGTGCACAAAATTTCAGCTCAATCGAATGTAATTGTGAAGAGTTATCGTGTAAACGGACAGCCGGCCGGACACACTGACCGATTCTAGAGTGTACTCACTTTTTGAGTACACAAAAAAAGTTGATTGTTTAAGCAAAATGTTACATATATATTTCAAATAAATTTAAGGTTTAGGATAAAATAAAACAAAGTTTTAAAATTATTCAAAAGCAAAAAAAAAAGAGACTAAACAATAAGCTACATTTTAACTTATGTATTCCTTATAGTACAATAACCAATGTTTTCTATTGAAATTTGACGCTCACGAAATAAAATATTAATATGATTGTTCATAAAAATACTTTCAAATATCATTTTCTGATGTCGACGCAGAAGAAGTGATTTGTACATACTCTAAGTTTATATTTACCCAATTTTCAAATTTGCTTGCGGCATATATTTTAACAGACCTATAGATTTTGTTATCGTAATGACTTTTCAATACAATCAGAAAACCGTTTTTTGTCTTTTTATGAAATCTTTTATTAAATATCTTGCAAGTTCTTTGTTGTTTAATCATCAAATTCTGATGAATTTAAATAATAATGTTTTTCAATAACAATTATCATTTATTAACGAGATATGAATTTGTTTTCGTTGATAATAAATAAATTTATTTTGTTAAACAAGAATTCATTGATAGTTCACAATAAATGATAGTCACAAGTTTTTTTCTTTCAAAAGATTCATTGTAAAATTTCTCATAAAACGATATGGTTTACTTTAAAAAAAACCTCATCGCTCGTTTTTAAACAACTTTCAAAATCTCTACTTTTTTTCAATTTTTCTAGAGAACATAGAATTCTTGAAAAATTTCTTTCTTTTGTACTTTTGTTCAGCTATTGTTCTTTAAGCAGACAATGCATAAAATTATTTCACACATGGAATATTTTTGTAGAAATATTGGAAGTGATAGAAACATCCAAAAATTCTTCATTATTCAATTATTTCTTTTAGAGAACATTGATCCTTCAAAAACAAAATATCTAAAAAGAGTACTGCCACAGTAGTTCTAATGTCTTATCCAAGATTGACTTGGCTTTTTCTTTTTTTTACAGAAAAATTGATTGACTTTGTGCCTGTAAAAATGGTTCTTTCGAAAGATATTGATAATTTAAAAGCACCAACGCACCACTTTCTCATTGTACTTGAGATTAATTTCCATATAAATTGTATTTCGTTTCAAGAAAAAAGAAGATTAATAAAAAGATTTATTCGTATCAATAAACATCATTGTACGACCTTCTAAGTCTGGAAAAAAACAGTACAGAAAATTAGTGTATTCTTTAGTTGCAATTCTATATCTTTTTCTAAAAAGAGCATCATCAATGAATTTACACTAAAGAATCAACTTATTATATTCAACAACAAGATCTATTTTTGTTTCATTTATTCATTATTAATTGATTATTATTTTCATATTAAATACAAATGGCAATGATTTTTGAATGATCATCTCAAGTCTACTAATATGCTATTTGTAATCCATTATTCACTTTTTCATTAAACCAAAAGAAGAAATTTATTCAAATTTGATATTTTTTTAATGATTTAAAACAAGCAGCAAAACTTTTGAAAAAAAATAAGAAACTAAAGATTATTTACTTTTAATCTTTTGACTATTATTACTCAAAGCAAATAATGATGTTTTTATTTTTATAAAAAAAAAAAAAACTTCAATTACTCAATTTGATGAAAGTTCGTAATCTTGAGTCATGGGATTTTTCTATTCAAACAAAAATAAAAGTCATGAGTCTAAATGAAGAAACTCAAACTATATCCGCTAATACTACTGAACTTTGACAAGACATTAAAACTTGTGTCACATTCAACATTTTAGTTAATTTAATCGTGAGAGCATTAAATAGACATTGCAGGTCGAAAGACAAATTTAACCACACCTAGATTCTCTATTGAATTTTTATCTCGTCTTCTAGCTGACTGAGTTTTACAATGAAAACAAACACATCAGATTTAAAAAAAACAAAGAAAAGAATAGAAAATTTTTATATAATAGATGAAATAATCAATTTCAAAATTGATTGAGACATTGTTAAGTACGTTTCTTATTTTAAAGAGTATGTCTGATGAGTTTGATTTCTTTATAATCTAAAAATGAAAATAAAATAGTTTCGAATGACATTTTTGTTTTTGCTTATGTTTTGACAAATTCGAACTAAAGATAATTTATTGGTTTTTTTTTCTCACAAAGTACGAAAAAACAAAAAGTTTTACCTTTATTTTTGCATACTAAATAAGAAACAATATAATGCTTGAGTCTTCTGACAGTGATTAATAAAAAAAGTCGAGATGTTTTTTTTTTTGGTAAGCTAATATTGACAGGCTTCAAAAACAAAAGAAAAGAAAAATAATGCATGTCTGTCATGATTTTAGCATTCAAAATACAAAAAATAAATGAAATTTTGAATGCTGAAACGAATTTAAAAATTGATTCATTTCAATTTGATTAATTAATCAAATAAATATTATGAAGTTGATTTTTATTCGAAAAAAAGAACAAACTTTTTTTTCCCCCTTGTATGTTCTTATCTCTACATCAGTTAGTATAAATAGGCAATAAATATATGGACTCGAACGTTACAGTATCATATCTTAGAAATAAATCTTTTCGTCGACAAATTTATTGATTCTGTGGAGAGTGTGCAAAAATTTCTCGAAATAATCTTAATAGTATTTTCGTTGAATAAGAAGTTACGAGTTAAATATTTTCAATTTAAGATAAGAATCTCAAACCATTGTAAATGTCAAGAACTCAAAGAGTATAAAATAAGCAGACTATAATATAATCCATCAGTAGTTTGCTACTCTATTTTGTGAAAAGAAGATTTTACAATTGCAAAATGATATTAGACTTTGCACGTATACTTTTATTCCTTTTCATATTCGTATTAATTTTTCATACTTTTTTGATTTGAATTAAGTTCGAATTCCAACATCATAAGTAAGTATGCACAATTTTTATTAATAATAATCGAAGATTAATATAAAAATGAATATGTCGTATATGAATATCTTCGTGTTCGTAATATTCTATCTTACGTCGAGTAACATTCTTTTGTATTTTTTTTAAGACTCTTGCCTTTTCTTTTCTTTTTTTTTATGTTTCTTTGTTTCGTCTACATTAAAAATAGTTTTTCTTCCTAGACCATTTTGCCTGGAATTTTTGTTTTCATTCTGCAAGCAGTAAGAACATCATAAGAGCACTATGAAGTGAATTGTACTTTGATCGAAAATTGAAGGAAAAAAAATACCGTGGCAGGTTTCTTTTTTTTTTTTTGAAACAAACTCGGAGTGTGTTCTATGGAATGTAAGTATGTAAGAAAAAAGAAGAAGAAGAAGAAAGAGGATCATTCATTGAAAAATATATAAAAAAGAAACTAGTTTATATTTCATATATAATCACAAAATAAAAAACAAAGGTATGTACAGAAAAAAAATTCTCAAAACTTTTTTTTTTCTTCTTTTATCAATGCATAAATTTTACATATGCAATATTTCTTTTCTTCAGTTTTTTTTACATATAAAGATAATCTCTATTTGATTACTTGAAATATATTAAAATTGTGAAATTTTAAAAATTATTCAATGATATTTACTAATATTTTTTAGATTGAATAATTAATAACTATGCCTCAAACTACTTCAGAATCAAAATTAAATGCCGAATGGTAGGTGTAGATGCATTTGATATATGGCTTGTTTTTATTTTTATCATAATTTTATTCTACTATAGTTCAACAATGAAATCCGATAAACATCCAGTTCGTAAACGGTTTTCAAAATTTTTATTGAAAATACTTTCAAATTTCAATCAATCAAAACAAAATTATTCATCTAACGATCGACGTAATACAACATCAATTGATAAACGTCAATTAAATTCTCGTCGTCATAAGCAATCAATAATTGATGCAGGCAACGATCGATTTCTATATGGAACACATTATCGTAGACGGTCAACCATTAAACGAAACCCAACATTAACGTCAATTCAAGAAGAAAATGAAATCGAACTTATGAATTGTATATAAAACTAAAAAAGACTAGCCACGAATCAATTTTGTTTATTGTAAAAGAACAATTTTCTAGTCACGAATCGTTGTATTGCTTTAATGCGTATGTTTATTCGTATATTGATTTCAAACAAAAAAGAAAATCATTCGATAATGTTATCATTTTGTTGCTAATGAGGTTTTGATTGAAATTCAAAGAAAAATGTATTTTTTTTTCTTCAAATAATTCTATTGTATTTTCAGTATATTGATAAGAAAATAAAAATTTATGTAAATAAAAATTAAAGACAACAGTCATATTATACGAAATTACAATCGTGCTTTTCTTTGTGTATCAATGAGATAATTAATATATTAGAAGGTTAAGTTACTCATGAATATGATAACTTTGACTTTGGATGCTAATTAATTTTAATAGCTCTAAGAATATTTTCTATTTAATCAAATAGAATGAATAACTACAATGTATATATTAGTTATGAAAAAAAAAAGAAAAGAGTTAATAGTTTAGATCGACATTTCTACAATTTTCCTCTGACGTAGTGTTTACTAGTGAGCAGAAAACTTCATACAAAAAAAAGAATTCAATATAACCTTAGTATACTCATTCACTACTTCTCAGGCATGAGCATTACGAATTAATACTATACTTATGCTGCTTTCACGAAATATGTATTTCGCTATTTCTTATGTTTGTGAGAGTCTTCGGCATCAATAAAAGTAATTGATTTGTGATAGTAACTGAATAAAGAATCTAGATGAGCTAATAATGATTACCGATTTCAATATAAGTTCTAAGATTTTATACATCGGTACTTTTAGTTGATAATTTTGTGTATATAGAAATTATATTTACTATTAGGTATGAAATCGTATATAAAATAATGGTTTTAACAAGTCATTTACATTTAATATATAGATCACAACAAGCAATATGAAGTATATTCATCTATTTACTGAGCATGAATAAGTTCTATTTTTGTCATATTATCACACTCATCAACATCAAGCCAATGTGTATATATGAAAATAAATTTCTATATTAAATGTTTCATTGATAACCATTAAATTTTTATACATATCAACCTATTTGTTTATCACCTGTGTATGTCAACATTTTGTACTTTTTATTTCATCACTTGATGTGAAAGATTAGATAAATTTTCTTTATATTTATATCAAAATGCATCAATCATCATTCGAACAATTTGATTATCATACATAAAAAACAACTAACAATTTATGTAAGTTTCTATTATCTTTAAAACATACATTTTCAGGACGAGCATTAAAACCATCGTATAAAACGTCGCAAACGACCTTGTATAGTATACGATTATATTACTTATCTTTTGAATTACGATTATATCTCGTCGTGTCATGTAGGACGAAATACAATGTGCATACGATTAAAGTGACCTATTTTGCATGATTGTCTACAATATCGTGTGCTATCGTATTCACATATTCTTTTCAGTCAAGACGGAAGGACTTTCTCCTTCTTCCTTCGCCTTAAACATTACGAATTGATCGAAATATTAAAAAAAACAAATTATTTATCTTTATATAAATACTTACGGTTCAATATGTTCTTAATTTAATCTAAATAAAAATAAAAATTACTCTATTAAAGAAAAGTCTTCCTTTTCATTATGCTTTCAGAATTCTTCGGAATAAAAAAGTTATTTATTTTATAGAAACTTTTATCATTATATATATATTTGTTGTTGAATGCAAAATAAAAGATCTATGTATTTGATAAGTGCAGCTTACTTTCATCATAGATAGATTTCGTGGTGAAATTCTGCTCAGAAGCACCCATTCGACTTCGAGTAGCTGACGTAGGACTGAGCAGTAAATCGAATACTATGTGAACATGGGACAGAATATAATTGTACTCCTCTGAAATTATGTATAAGGTCTTGTACATTCTGACGAAAATGAAGTCAGATACCAAAATAGTTTACCTGAAAGAGTAATTTATCAATTAGTATTGATGATCTAAAACTAATACGTCTACACTGGTGCATGACTTTTATATATTTAAAAATCGAATAGTTTTTTTTTCCTAGAAATCAGTGAGGGATTCTTCCATATACACCATAGAATAATCGCAACATATTTCAGCATCGTCGCAGAATGGAAAAAATGAAATTAGAAGAAGTAATACTTTATAATAAAATTCATTAGGGAAAACGTATGTGGTATTGCGGAAGAGGAAACTTTATCAACATTTCAGGACGGATATTGAATGTTTCAATGTTACCAATTGCTCAAGAACTCTATGAACATAATGGAAAATATTGATTGATTTGAGAAAGGGAAAAATTCAACTTGCGTTAGATGATTGGAACTTGGGACACTTCACTCTGTTTACTGTGCTCGGCAGTTAGCCTTGGATGGCAACGGGTAGAAATACTACGGTCTTGATGTCACAGTTGAATATCTCCCTTGTATTATATAGTTCTATTATCAGAGAATTCGATTGCGACATGTAACAAGCAAAAAGACACTTTATTTCTCTTAAAGTTATTCAAAATAACGTAAATTCAGTTCTAACGTGAAACTGAGAGGCATTGAAACCTGATTCGTTAAGATATTAATGTTCATAATAGGTAATTTATGGAAACATGTTTTCGCGTAATTCTTTTGACAAATCGTGACTACAACTCAATGTGCTCCTGACGCTTTTGGTCATTTAAAGAAAGATAGTGTCTCTCTTGTTCATCATTTTAATATGAAGAAAATAATAGTTTCAATGTCAGATAAATCAATACAACTTGAAATACTCAACTATGCTGAGCATAATGTTTCTCTGTCGGATATTAATGATTTCTCCACTTCAATCTGTTAGTATTAAAAATCCAATCTCAGGTTTGAATAGAAACATAGAAAAATGGTATCAGAGCTCATATTTCATAAACAAAAAAGCGCTTCTCATATGCAACTCTTTGTAATATAATTGTTGCTCAAATACTGGTTTTGGTTAAATTGATATTAATACGATCAGTCTACTTCCTTTCTTTAGAAAGCAAATGACTTGTATTGTTGACATTGCATGAGTCATTCACAGACACCAAAAAGCAGTTGCTTGCTCTACCTACTTTCTCGGTTCTGCTGCAGAAAAAATTCGACAAGCAGTCAACGAATGGTGCACTTTTCTCACCATCAGTAGTTGTTTTTCTCTCTTCCAAATAGGTTGTAATCAATACTCATGTAAAACGAAACTGAATGAATATTTGTCAACAATGATGCTAGGGTACTTCGCCATTGTTGTGAAGCAAGTTATTGAGACATTGATGTGCAAAATACCAGAACAATGTGCCAATGAAAAAACATTCTCACAGAAAAGAATTTCGTCAATCATCGATTGCTACATTCAATAGACCTTTCTGAGTGAAATAGAATCGAATTCTGCATTTCCTATAAGGGTGTTACTATATAAAATCTTTTTTTTCCAAAATAGGTACACGTGGCCTTTGTTTATTGACCATTTTGTTCTTCTAGCACATGAGAAATATCGTGATGGAGCTCTTAATTCAGAAGTTGTATGACAGTGATGAATCATATTTGAGATGAGATAAATAGAAAAAGAGATTTGCCATAGAAACTGTTTGTTTGGAGAACAACTTCAAAAATAAGTTTAAAGTCTCCTACTCCAAAATCAGTTTTTAGACAAAGTACGCTCAAATCCCATGAAACTTTCAGGACATTTTGAGTCTATACTGGAAAGGCTACGTTAATATTTTCCACTCAATATTATGAAGTTTTTAGATGCATTTGTAAAACTGGTTTCTAGAAAGAATTCTTTCCGCCGTCTAGAATGTCTTCTAAGCCTCTATGAGCAATAAACATAGCTTCTTGTTTGTTTCGTAGAAAACATTTGGATACAAAGTCTCACAGGGTGTGAGCGATTGTGGGTATTATTGTGACTGAAAGACGAACTATATGAACCTTTAAAGCTTACAGCATTCTCATGCTCACAGCGAATTGTGAACCCACAGCAATCTTCACCGCCACACCCTTATTCCTTTGATATAACTAATCTATTTTGATATTCGATCCATTTTTGTTCATTTGTAATTCACAGTCACTAAATTTCTTTTCTTAGATCAAAACATAAAATCTCTACTCTTGTTCGAAGAAAAGCAAATCTATTTCATTGCAGACAGAACCAATTATTGAAAAATAAAACTTTGGTCTGATAGATTGTGTAATAAGTTATCGATTTGAAAGAATTATTGTACATATTCTTGGTTTTAAAAGGTTGCCCACACTCATCAGACTCGAATGAACAAAACTGAACGTTGAGTAAGAAGAACAACTGCACTTAGAAAACGATGCAATTTATCGAGAAATAAAATTTTTTCCCATCCTAGGAATTCTCAGTTTCTTTCAGTACCAATTTTAGTCGTACCTCTTTCACAACTTATAACAGAGCTGGGCAAGTACGCACTTTCTCGAGTACGAGTACAAATTTTCTGAGTACAGAATTAAATAAAAAGTAAAGTAAAAAGTCCTTTTTTATGTACAACTGGGGATGGGCGGTGTGAGAAAACTGAACAGGGACTGACACCGACAGTGACGCTCACTGAACACTCATAAGTCCACTGACACTGATTACGGAAAAAATTAAAAACACTGACACCGAAGTCACCGCAACACTGATGACCACTGCATCACTAATCCCTGATGCACTGACATCATCGTCGTCACTGATGAATGGTTCTCAGTGACTTCACTGAAATGCAAATAGTTTTTTCACTATATGTACTTAGGGTGTGGATGTGAGTGGGTGGGGGGTGTGTGGGTGTGGGTGAGGGTGTGAAGGAAGAACAGAACAGCACCCACACTCACACCCATATCCACACCCACACCCACACCCACCCACACCCACACCCACACCCCACACCCACACCCATACCCACCCACACCCATACCCACCCACACCCACACCCACATCCACCCACACTCACATCCATCCCAGAGGCCATCACAGGCTGCTGCAGAGAAACTGTGCTTGAGGATGGGTGTCGGTGTAGGTATGTGTATGAATAGTATTTTCAAAAAACCTACACACAAAGCAACACCCATTCTTTTTTTATTTCGCCCTTCGGTTTTATTTTATTTATCTAGATATTTGAAAGATGCATGTACTTTTTTCCGCAAACTTGTCTTTCTTCATTTATTTTTTTTTCGAAGAGTTTTTATAACTTATCTATCTAGTTCTTCGACGGAGATGCATTATTGTTCTTCACCTTTCTGAAAATATAATCATTGATTGTCTTGAAAACGGCATGCATCTAGTTTTTGATCATCCTTCGTTTATTTTAAACGCGTATGTTGCATTAGTATATAATTATTACGACATCTCAGTCGAGTCACTGAAATTCGATTATCAGTGGCGCTGATGATGTCAGTGTATCAGTGGTCACTGATGCTGAACCTATCAGTATGTAGTAAGTATCACTGTCGATGATAACAGTGTCGATTTTTTCATTAATCTCACTGGCATTGCACATGCCTATGTACAACTCATTTTTAACTTCTAAGAGTTTTAGTGTTGTATGTTTTTTCCTCTACATAGTAGTACATGAGTGACTGTGCCGGGTATTACTCTAAAGTTCTAAAATGTTTAGTGAGAAAAGGATATTCATAGCTGTAGAAAATATTATATATGCGCACATCGATGCCTAGAAAGAATATAGGAGGAGGGAAAAGTCAAAATTTGATAAAATTTTTCGCTTATTGTGAAACTTCTGATAAATTAAATCATAATCAAAGTATATTACATTTGAGCAAAACAGATAAACACGAAGGTTTTTCCTAATTAATGATACTCGATGTAGATGAATAAAATAGCTATTCTCAGTAAAAAGCGTGTTCCTTGGGAGCCACTGTAACTGTTATTTTCGAGTATTTCAAGCAAGTCAATATATTCATACGTAACTTTTTTCGAAAAGAGGAAATTATTTTCAGAATCGCGCTCAATTAAAATTATCGAATTTTCATCGAATGAACTTTTCGATTGGTTAAAATGAGGAAAAAGACGCTATGTTTTGCTAAGCGACCCATCTCTCTTTGCTGTAGCATCAGCATCACTTGGTTCACTGGTGTTGGACACATTGTCTCAAATGTTATGGCGTATTCAAAACTACAATTTAGAAAAAGACGGATGAAATCACTAAGAACATTTTCAAGAAAACGTACTTTTATAGAAGTATGAAGGTTTAGAAGGAATATTAGTTTGAAATGTGACTCAAAAGTAACAAAACCAAAAAGAAAATTACATCTGGGAACCATTCTCATATAGAGGTAGAATTGAAAAGTGCATCAGTTTCAAAATAAAGAAGTCCATTAAGCTAATATTTGATTGATGCAATAGGAGTTTCATATGAAGGCGCGAGAATTAGAATAGAAGTTAGAATAGAAGAGCTAAATTCAAGTTCGAGGTCAAAAAAGAACATCAGGAATAGAAGGCACAACAAGAGCGGTACCAGCATATAATTTTCTCTGAATCATTTTAGAAACTTCATTAAATAATTGAAAAAAAGATAAGAAATCTTCAGAAACTTCTTGATCGACTAAGAAGAAGTCCTCATCGATTGCTCCCATTTTCAAACAGAACGCAAACTAAATTTTAACAGAAGAAGTTCTATACGTTTTAAAGTATTCAATATAGAACTATCGAGTATCTCTTTGGATTCCAATTCTCGAGTACTGAGCCTCGAGTACGAGTACCGATCCCCAGAGTAAGAGCACGTGCGAAATCGTACTCGAGTACGAGTACTTCGAGTATTTTGCCCAGCTCTGTCATATAATGCAAAGTTTCTTGCTCAGCATAGGCTGTTTGATATAAGCCATAGCAATACGTATTTCTTTCTTAAAAACGCTAATGTCTTTAGTTAAAATTAATTATGCCGATGGATGAATATCTTTTCCGCCATGCAAAAGCTCTGGTATAATCACGGACTGTTCTTTTGTCCTTTAGTATTTCATTGTTCATCTGTATCTTTTCATGCTCATTTAAAATTTCACATAGAAGGATATTTCTTGAGCTAGCATTGGCCATTTCTTTGATTCGGTCTTTTTGTAAAATATTCTAGGAATTTCCGTAATTCATCTCGATGTTTAAATTTGGTATTGTAAGGTGTGAATGTGAGATAGCTTCAGAGAAGGCTCATCATAAATGCTTTTCACAAAATCTCATATCAAACAAATCTATATAATTCCCGATAAAAGATTCAATAGCTCCATCGCAGAATGAAGCGTCATAATTCGTGACTTCCATGATATTTATGTTAAGTTATTAGGAATACATCATCTTACACAAAATAAAAGCACTTCACAAGTCAGCTATCTAGGTAATAAATAGTTTAATGAATCAAGTTAAATGAAATCTTGTATAGATTTATGAATACAGCTATGCTTCAATGTTGACTGCTGCTTTTGTTAAATCAAGAAATTCGAGAAGAAACATGTTGATTTGTTCTAAAAACAAAAACATAAATTTCAACAGGACTTAGCAGAAATAGCTGTGTATACTGTATAAACTTACTCATCAATTTTGGTTGCATTTGACGAAAAACAAACAAATAGTAGAATATCAAACCGGCAAGTAAAATAAGAGTTGCAATAAGAAATCCAATATTCGGATCAGATATAACGGGTGCAATGATAAGATAGATAGAAATTAAAATAATAAATATAATTAGAGGCATTGGAACCTATTAAAGCACAAGATATTTTCTCGTTTATAGTCGATGAAGAAAAATCAACATACTTTAAAAACTCGATAACCGTTAGGTTTCGTAAATCTGCAGCAGATTGTAGCAACAAATGTTAGTCCATAAAAGACCCAAGAAACAAAGCTGAAAAAATTGATCAAATTGTCAATATCACTTGGAATACAATAGGCAATGGCAAGTATTGTCTTAAATAATAAAGATAACAAACAAATACTTCAAAATTAATGAATAGATTCATTTAATATAAACCTGAAGCATAATGCCGGGTAATGGTGTTAATCGTTGCTTTTGAATACAAGAAAAAACTTCAGGTAAATAACCATAACGTGCGCCGACCATACAGTAACGTGCAGATGTGAAAGTCAATCCATTGGCACTACCCAAAGCACTCAATGATATCAGGATTGGCAAGGCATGAGCAACAACACCCAATACTTCTTCTCCCCATGTCTGCAAGTATTCGTTGAAGAAAACATCGAATAGATATATTTTAAAAGGATGGTTATTGAACCAATGAATCATGTGTACATAAAATCATATGAAAAGGAAAGAAATTAGCTAAGTGTCCAAGACTCAATTTCAGGCGCACTGCATGAAAACTTTCAAATAGAACAAAACAGGCTCTATCCATTGACGCTCATTGAAACTCTGCTAGTTCGAAAAAAATCTGCTGATAAAGTAAAACAATTTGAAGAAATTTAATAATCTACTCTCAAGATGATATGCTGTAATGTAAAGGACCATATTTTGTCAATAAGTTTTCGTAAAATGAAATAATCGAAGATTTCTCTTAATCATTATTCTGACAGCTAGATTGATATTTACCACAGCAACAGCATCGGAACTAAGCAATGCAGCTTTGTTCATCACTGTGAAATAGGATATGTTGGTGAGAAGATATAGAATAATCACTGATGAAAGACCCACTACTATTGCCAACCATAGATTTCTATCAAATATACGGAATATTCAATGAATGGAACACAATTTGTTTGATTTTCAAGTATAGATACCTTTTTGGATTTTTAAGTTCTTCAACCACTGTATTCAAACTACTCCATCCACTATAGGCCCAAAGACCTGAATAAAAAGCAAGTGCAACACTTAATGGATTGTTTGTTGTACCTATTCTAGTGAAAAAACAAGAAAGAAATTATCAATTTTTTTTCTAGAAAGAACTTCAACTACCATCAAAGCCACTTTTTAAATTTTCAGTATAACCTAGTTAAAGGAAAAGATTTTCGCAGAAATTTTGTTGTTTTTTTGCTTTCATAGATCTTTACAAACCTTGTCCGATTCGTACAAGACCAGCCATAATAATTACTAAAATTGTCGTTGTTTTGCACACAACAAAGACAATATTTAGCCGATTGGCCGCCTTTACACTGTATGAATTGACAGCGGAGAGGATTCCTAAATCGTCATGCATTAACAAATAGACAAGAGAAAAATACGAGATTAAGTTAAAAAACAAACCAATTACAAAAATTGCCAACATTTTTACCAATTCGATTGGTGGACCGCAACCTACATTAACTTATTGAAAAACGAATCATAGATTGATATATTTCTATTTACTATCCATAACTTCTGATAAGAAGTATGTTGAAAATGTTAGACAAAGAATAGCAACACTCGATGGTTGAAGAATAAATGTATTCGCCCAATTGAAAATAAAAGCAAGAACATCGCCAGTACGGGCATGAGCTGATCCGATTCCTGAATTATAGATCGATTCGTAATAAATGTCCCATAAAAAAAAAATTGTAAGAACCAGCATTTCAACGAAAACTTAAGCAAAAGTATAATTTTTATGTGTAAACACATTATTCTTTCTTTTCACACATTCTTTCAACTTGAAATGTAATCAGGAAACGTCCTTGGAATATGCTCATGAGAGGACGCGTTTTCTCTGTTCGGTCAACACTTATTTATAACATCATTTGAATGTGTTTGATGTGGCTATACCTTATAAACTTAAAGGATTTTTAAGCTTTTCTTTTTGCTGATAACAACGATATTTTTACACACACTTTACTATAACGCAGTACTAATTGTGTGTTTTTCAGAAGAAAAATGAATTACCTCACAAACAACTTGTATGAATACTGAGAGTCGTATTTTAAGTAAAATCGGTTTTTTTTATGACATAAAAATCTGCTAACATATAGACACAGTTATAGATAACAGCAGATTCAAATGTTAGCTTAATTTCTATATTTTCGTTATTAGCAACCTCTTGCATAGGCTGGTGACGAATGTTAGTTGCTTTGTTGTCAATCAGCGTTCGAATATTTCTATAACATCTCTATCGAGCCAATAATACACTTTAACATGCGTGGTTTCGTATTCTTTTCAAACACAATTTGCGAGTAATATCGATAACAGCCGTCTTTCATTTTTATTACCCTCTTTTTCGTTTCTTCTATATCTCTTTCTATGTTGATTTCTTTCACAATAAAATTGATGAATTGTAAAAATATTCATGTATTTCTATTGTCTTTTTACATCTCCTACCGCTAATTGACGAATTTGTGAGATAAGTTAATAGAAAATCTATTTAGTGAAAATACATTGTATGATAATAGATATTGTTAGTTCGAAAAGTCATGCTTTTATATCCCTAAATGAAAATCCCATTGATTGAAGCAAATTAACAAGGCGATCTATCTGATTGCTGCCCGAGAATCATCTGCGAATTATTTGATTCCGTAGACACTTCTATTCTGTTCCCAATTATGATTATATGCATTGCTCCGACTCACATTTTACGAGATTAGTAGAAGTCATATTTCCATGTTTTTCCCTTAGCGTAAAACTTTCTGTATCCATTTTGTCATATTGACTATTATATAAGGAGCATTCAAATGCCGAAGAACAGAAAAAGACTTTCGAAGTAAAACGATACATTTTTATATCAATGAGATACATTCTCTGAACACATTCTTAAACGATTTCTTTGCATTTTTTTCTCGAAAAAACGCTATCAAACGCAGATTTTTGCAATTTTTTTTTCATGGGTTCAAACTAAAATACATTTAACAAGTCCAAGATCACCTTCTTTCATATAGATCAGTTCGGATCCACTCAGCGGGATTAATGTGCCTATTTCCGCATAGCACAATGCACCTACAATAAAAACGCATACTCAATAATATAATGGTCGTTTCAATTCGAAATCTTGCCAAGTAGAGACACGAGTCCACATAATACCCATATTATTAAACATAAGCCGATTGATTGTGTCCCTCTGAGAACACCTTTTGGGGAGACGAATATTCCTGAGCCTGGTATAAAACATATTTTGAATAGAAAGAGATTGAAATCAACAAATTTTAATCACCAATGATCATGCCAAGTATGAATGCAATTCCAGAAAATAGACCAAGATGTCGCTTGAGAGTTTTTCTTTCATTAGAGAATACTTCACCTTTGTCGGAATCGACTTCTTCGATTGGTTCATTAGTGGAATTTCGAGATTCAGTCAACGGAGAATTCATTCGTCGTTCTTGAACAGATGTTGAATCTACATGAGCATTAGAAGAAATAGGTTCGGCACAATCTGTCTAAAGTTGAAAGGGATAAAAAAAAAGGAAAGCAAAACCACACTTCGTTGAATCATGTCTCGTACAACTTCTTTATATTCACCTGAACAAACATGTTGTTGCTGTTGTAGTCTCTTGTTATTTTATGTCTTTTGTCAAGTATGATCAAAATTCCGAGTCTCTTCTTTTTCAAATGTACCTTTCTTATCTCAAATAATAATGCGTAGCATATAACTATCAAGGTAAGCAATAAAAAAGAAAAAGTGTTGCCTTCCTGAGTCGTACATTCGCGAATCAACTGTATGCACTCAGTATCCAGTGGATCATGCGAAGTATTATCGCTTATTGGTTTTGCTATTCATTCGAATATCGAGTGTATGTACAGGTGTGGGTATGGATTGAGACGAGTTCTATATACAACTTCTACACTCATACCCTCTAGAGAACATTTTGAACATGGTAATCGAATGATGCATACGTTTTTATTGGGATAAGTGACTACCGAACGTGATCTATGACTAGTAAAATCAAATGAGTATGAAAAAAAATGACACGATCTCATTTATTATAATCGATGTTGTGTTATTTGGGATTCTTAGTAAGAAATTGCATGAAACTGTATCAACATTAGTTACGATATCCAGTAGGGTGGATGTGAGTTTGGGTGTGGGTGGGTGTGGGTGGGTGTGGGTGTGGGTGGGTGTGGGTGTAGGTGTGGGTGTGGGCGTGGGTGTGGGTGTGGGTGTGGGTGGATGTGGGTGTGGGTGTGGGTGTGGGTGGGTGTGGGTGTGTGGATGTGGGTGTCATGTCCCCACACCCACACCCTTCCCTGTCAGAATAAAACTTGTTCTTGTGCTACAACACGATCTTGTGCAGTATCAGCACAGCTTTTTGCGAATCCTACATCCTATTATTTATTCCAAGGTTTCATGCGCAGCTGTTTTATAATTGAATCAATTTTATAATCTTCGCTGTCTGGTTTCTATTCTATAAATTGTATCAACTAATTTCGGAACATAACCGGTCTTAAAATAGAGACGATAATCGAAGAATGGGCATATCATAATGGCATTCAACTAACGTTTGATGCTACATCGTTACGATTTGCTATTAATGATACAATTGAGACGTTGGCTTACAACATGTTTATTAAAATCTGGATAAGCAAAGCATCATATGAGATGTTTTTCAACTTTTGCTGTTCCAAACAACGTACCTGCACATATCATTATCGCTTCGATGATTTAGAGATCCTAATAACCTTTTTAAGTGTATTTCCTGGTTCGTCTCTTGGATCGCACCTTTTCATACCTCATCTTGTTCATCCTGTTGCAAAAATTAACAAGTGATTTCGTATCGTATCGCTGGATTGATTTTCCTTTTTTGACAAGAGTGTCACTAGTGATTCGAAGAAAAACTTGAAGTATACATGTTGATGTTGTAATCATTGTTGTTATTATTCTCATTCACTTTATCATCAGCATAACACCATAATTACGATTCTGATATATGGGCTCAACAGATACGTATAAAGAGAATATGACTCTTGACTATTGGTTGATCTACATGGGCAACATCATACGAATATCTCGTCAGAAGAACTATTGATTATGGCTGATCGCATACTGTGGGGTATTTGATTTCATTCTGAATTTTCGAAATAAAAGAGGGTATGGATGTGGATGTGGGTGAGTGTAGATCTTGATATCTTTTTGAATCATACCCACACTCAAGCACACCCCTCCGAAGCGGAATGCTTAAGTGTTTTCAATTATTATTTATCTTGAATTTTACTATAAATAATATCTACCATTGATTCCAAAGAAAAATAAACAAGACCAACCATTTTTAAAACCTGTGCAAAAAAAGAAAAAACTAAGTTTCGCGAAAATAAAAATGGTAATAATATTCTGATGGAATAGAATGAATTTAGATCAGACTTGGAATGTTGTTTTAATTGACGTTACAATAATAATCATTTGATGCAAATATCGAATAAATTTGAAGAATGTAGATGATTGTTTTGATAGGAACTGGAACCATGCAGAAAAGCAAATGTTGCAAAATAATGGGCCTAAAGAATCGAAAGTGTAATATATACCTATGCTTTCCCAGAATATAGGTTATGACATCAGTGAACAATAATAAAAGAAGGGATTTAGTAGAAAATATTCAGTAACAGAACATCTCAACGTAGGTTAAACTTGAATGGATTACTCATGACATGCCTATTGGATAGATAACTCGTGCGATCTGAATCACTGAACATGCAATACTTTTTTTTTATATAGCCTAAGTAACCTCAAAAAGAATAGAATGCATCTTAATATGCACTTTTTCTGTATTATTTTCGGCAGCGAACACAATGGGTGTGGATGTAGATTATTTCTTCTCAAACGCTAAAAACTCACACCCACACACCCACCCATCAAGAACCATAAAGAGAAATGACATGAATGTATAATAATGAACAGTTCTTATTCATCCAAACTTGTCAACTTGCTAGAAGCCTACAGACAACAGGCTGTACAAATCACTTAATGAAATGCAATCACATTCACAAAAAGAAACAAAAGCACAGACTTGATCTTTTGCAGCATTTTTTTATGTACACTTTCTACCTTCATATTGTCACTCACTGTACAGACTCTAAAAGGAAGAAAAAAAATAATTTCTTTCGTTCGTTTGTCCGTTGTTAATGCACTTTTCTGTTGATTTTTCTTGTTTGTCATAATTGCACTCTTCAGAAGAAACCTAACAGAATCATAAT